TCTATATTTATAGAATACCTTTTATTTCCGCATTTGCTGTCAGAGGTTCTGTATTATTTTAATATTTTTCCCAAATAAATAAAGCTTATCTATAAATACAAACAGTGCAGACACATTTAACACTCCTTAATTTCGTAGCAACGTTATTGTGAGTTCAATTCCGGAGGTGAGTAGTAAAGACTGAAGTTTAATAAAATGACACATGGCACAGTGCATAAAGGCGTTAGTTAGATCCAGTGACAGGACCTAAAGAGTGCGAGTTCAATACCTGGTTAAGGCGGTGGAGAACTTGGAGAGGGGAATTAACAGGAGATAACTGATAACTGACATCCATTAGACATGGCACGTGGAACTAGAACAGTCTACTCCAGTGAGCGAAATAAAGGGTTCAGTTCGACATTCCAACCACTTGAAGAAAGTACAACGGCCGAAACGTTGTGATAAATATGGCAGCAAAGATGAGGACAATTGTCCGAATAATGTAAATAATGTACATAATACCTCATCTCAGAAATATAGACAGATATTTAATTTTCGTAATTAAAATAGTTAATTGTAACGTTTATTTAGTCTACTGATATGAGATGATTTTAAATCCTACACTTTTATCTTATCTTTCAATTATACAAAGTGTGGCAGCAGAAATATCTCCCACATATACCTGCCAGAAAAACCTCTTACTGTCTTACCATTATGTGGGAGGTGTATTTCTGTCGCACCCTGTATTAGAACGTTGCATGTTGACAGTAGGGATTATTCTCGGCTTGGCCGGTGATCGCCAATCGTTTCGGTAATGAAAGACTTCAAAACTTAGAATTTTAACTTATGTCGACGTGTACTAACCATCCAGTGTGGGTTGCCTCACTTGACTGGGGAGCTGTTTCAGACACGAAAGAGAACACGTTTACATCGTTTGACGGCCAAGAAGCAACTCGCTGAAAAGCCTTTATCTGTCTATCATTCCCATGCTAGCTCAGCAATCAAAGTCAACTTCCTTATTATGTTTTACACCTGGCCCTAATGGTTAACCTCCGGAAGTGGGAGCTGAGATACATTTCCCCTAAAATTAATAGTCTGCTAAACTATTATTTAACAAAAGTCTTCTGAAACTAATTACGTACTTCAACGTTATGATTTTTTACGGCTTAACTCTCTGTGGGTTATTTAAAGTCGTAATACATTTTGCATTGTGAGAACAATTTTTATTTAGGCGAGTTAATATTGCATTAATAATTTTTTATATACAAATTTTTAGAGATAAAAAATCCTACTATTTAACCCATAGCAGAGGGGAGAATAGATGGAGTTATATCTCCCGCAAAGGATTTTACGCGTAAGTGGATTGAAAGAACTCGACTATTTGGTGAAAGACAGATTTCGTTAACCGTGGAACGGAATAAAAACATCCCTTCTTCCCGAAGTAACAGGTAGGAACTGTTGCAGTTACACGCGATTAAAAATTAAATAACTCGTTTAAAGTTAAATTTAAACATCGAACAGATTGAAAAGTTTAAAAACACTTCTTTATTAAAAGGTTTAACTTAAATTTCGTTTTTCGTCACAATTGCAATTGATATTGTCTACTTAAACCGTAATTAAAACTTAAGTAGGGCACGGTACGTTGCTCGTGTTTTATTTTCTTTTTCTAGCACGCGTACTGTGACGTATTCGAAATATTCCGTAGTTCGGGTTCCCTAATGTTTTTTTGAATTATTTTATGTAAATGGATCATAAAGAATGGTAACTTTAAAAGATAATAAAAAATCCACGCAAAATAAATGTAAACAAACTACGGAGATGCGTTGCATATCCGAAGAAAGATTATGCCGAATTAAGTTGTCGAATAAAGATAAAATAATTTTATCATTTCTAAATTCTTATAACATAGGACGCTGAAGGTAAAAGATTGGAGGCCCCAAAGCCCCCCCCCCCAATAAAGAAGCTAACCTAAAGTCCGTTCGAAAGACGGCTTCTTCACTAGTATTTAAATGCATTTAAGTTGCATTTGTTTATACATCTTTTCTCGTAAAATGTGATTACTTTTCGAAAATCCTAATATCTTCTTTCTTTTTACATGCCGTATCCTTTCAGAACGTCGGTGATCATGGCTCTCCACTTCTTCCTATGCCTTGTGGGTCTCAGTAGGTTTCATCCTTTTGCCACCTCCCGCAGACCACGTTCTGTCACCCACTTGCTCAAGACCACCAGGTATGTGATGTGTTGCTTTCCCTTGTCTCTCTTTCCTTCTATTTCGCCTGTGGGTATCAGATTTTCTAGGCCCAACTTTCTCATCACGTGTCCAAGAAACTTCAACTGCTTCTTCCTGATGCTAAGTATAAGACTCCTCCTTGTTTGCATCCTCTCCAAGACCTCATCGTTGCTCACACGCTCGGTCCATGATATCCTCAACATCCTTCTGTAGAACCACATATCCGTCGCTTCGAGTCTCTTCTTCATCTTTGAGGAGACCATCCAACATTCGCTGCCGTAAAGGAGGGCAGATGTCACGTAACCGCTTAGTACTCTTTTCTTTGTTACCAAAGAAATCCTCCTGTCTTGCAATACTCTGCCCACCTTTTGGAATGCGTCCTTGGCCATCCCAATACGTCTACGGATTTCAGTGTCGCACTTACCGTCCTTTGTCAAAACACTTCCCAGATATTTAAACTTCCGCATCTGCAAATCGCATTTCGTGCTCATCTTTTTACTGATGACCATGCATTCTGTCCTCTTGTAGTTTATGCTTAGTCCTTTCTTCTCGCTCTCCTTCGCTGCCTTCTGCAGGAGATTTTATAATTTCCTTTCCGTCTCTTCTATCAGTACTGTGTCATTTGCCTATCTTATGTTGTTAAGATTGTGGCCGCCAATGACGAATCCAGATACGATTTCCATTTTTCTCAGAATTGCCTGGCTGTATAAGTTGAACAAGTCTGGTGAGAAGACACATCCTTGCCTTACACCCCTTTTTTTGTATATTTGCTGAACTTGTTTTCTATGCGTATGCATGCTGTTTGCTGCCAGTATAAGTTCTTGATTATTCTAATATCTTTCCTGAATATATGTAGGTTGCTGAGGAGTTCCACCAGATCCTTGTGGCATACATTGTCGAAGGCCTTTGCGTAGTCTATGAAACATAGGTAAACGTCATTCTGCATTTGTATTGCTCTTTCTGATAAGATTCTGAGCATGAATATCGCATTCGTTGTTCTGGTGTCTAAATGAATCCGCACTGTTCTTGTCCTATCTATGGCCTGATTCTGCTGCGTGCTCTTGATTATCAGAATTCTTTCGGATATTTGGGAATATCGCAGAACGCATTTCTTAAATGTTTTATCTAGTATTAATCCTACTCCTTTGTCGTTTTTCTCTCCGCCTGCGTAGATAATCCTGTGCCTATCACTGACAAAATCTCCGTTGTTAAACCATCTGATTTTACATACACCTAGGATGTTGATTTTAAGCCTGCTCATCTCTTGTTTTACATTATCTAACTGGCCGAAGTTCAATAATGTCCAAACGTTTCATGTCTCGAGATTTATTTTATGTTTGATGAGCACAGTCGCAAGATAACAATTCGGTGACATCTATCGCCCATGTCGTTCCTTTCCTGGCGAGGGATAGGTTCCGAGGAATGTTATCCCCTTTACGCCATTTATGCTAGCAGTTGCTGGATGACGGTCAGGTGACACCCGTTGCGCATTTCTGTCCTTATCGGGCGTGGAGTTAGGTCCCATACACTTAGCCCCCTTCACGCCGTTAGGTTTCATCTTGTCTGTGTTGTTAGCCATGATAAGTCTTGGGATTGATAGTGGAGTGCTTTCCCGTTGCCTTCTCCACGGTGGTTTATGGAGACACCACCTCTAGTTAGCTGGCCGCCCTTTAAGTCATGTTTTTCGTCCTACAGGCTTGCTAACGAGCCGCTTCACTCAGAGCTTGGGGTGGAGTAGTCGGTTTAGTCGCCGACATTTCAACTGGAATACTTACTGTGAAGGTGAGGGAATAAAATATATTTTAATTAAGTTTTAACTTAGTTAAGTTCCATTGCCACCTATTAAAACAATGCAATTATCGACCTATTATTTATTCGCAGTGGTTACCAAAAAGCCGAGTAAACCAAATTTCATAACGCTTATTTGACTTTTTTTTTTTTTAATTTACAAATCAACCTAGCTGGTCTGAAAATTAAAATTAAAGTTAAAAATAATATTGGAATAAATAATTACAAACAAAATAAAATACGTCAAGACAGCATCGTGGAAAAGCAATTCTTACTACTTACAATTGGAGCCTTGTGTTAAATCTTGCTAAACTCGATTTATTTTGAGCATTTAGTGTAATGTTGAAGTCTAACAGAATACGTATTCATTTAAAAAATACCACTGCGCTATGGTTGGTTAGAATTTAGATGGACGGAGGGAGTGGGGAAAGTAAGCAAGTGACCAGTACCTTCCAAAGCTTGAGAATGGCAACTTTGTGTTTCAAATGAAACAAGACAAAGGAAAAAAATCCTTCACTTTCCTGCCTTATTTTATCTAGTAAATGAAAGTCTCACTAGTTGCCAAAAATTTCGAGTAAGCTTCATTACACATGTTATATGTTCTTACGTGCCTTTTTCAATTTATAAGTCTGAAAATTAACGTAAAAGTTAAAAAATAAGATATAAATAAATAATTACACACAAAATAAAATACATCTCAAGGTTTTGGAGGTGCCGGTCACTTGCTTGCTTGTAACCCCCCACCACTCCATTCTTAACCCACCATAGCGCAGTGGTATTTTGAAATGGATACGTATTCTGTTTGTCAGCCTTCAACATTTCATCCTAATAACCTCACATCTTTTTCCCCAGCGTTGACTGAAAGAGAAAGTGAATGAAACCCGCACATACTGAAAACTGATCGACTGATAAAGTGTGTATTAATAAAAAACGGAAATTTAAAACAAAGGCTTGGCGAAAAGGAAACACTATAACGGGAAAGATTTGAATTACAATGACTTACGAATTGATAGCCATTAGGAAAAGTGTGTGTGGAGCCATTAACTTATAGATCGGATGGGAAACAGATATATTTCTGTGCATGGCCAGAATAACCCCTTCCATCAGGAAATGCGTCCAACCTTTAAATATAAGAAAAATAGTAAGTAAATATAAAATAGCAGCTGCAAATTTGTGTAATTTTGTTTTAAAGCTAGAAAATTAGAGATGGTAGAAAGTGAATACGCGGAAACTTTTTAAACAAAACGGAAATGAGGTATTTTATCGTAAATAGCCCACGAGAGATTTCATCGGGAAAACTAATGTTTCTGTAAATATTCCAAGCTTTTTTTAAAATTTTATTATTATTACTACTACTACTACTATAATAATAATAATGATAATAATAACCTGTTACAATTCTATGGGACTACACAATGCATACTGACAGAACAATCAAAGCCAACCGCTCAGATGTTATTAAAGACCACAAACAAAAAAAGTGCCTCCTTATTGATAAGGCAGTCCCTGCTGACTGCAATGTATCTTTGAAGATATTCAAAAAGCTGTCAAAATACGAGGACCTTGAAATAAAAATCTCGAAAATGTGGCACATGGGAACATCAACAATCCCTGTTGTAGTTGGAGCCCTAGGACTGGTTGGAAAAGATTGTAGTAGATTAATTGAAGGGATTCCTGGAAGTCTATGCCTCAAGGAGATACAAAAAAATTGTTCTGACAAGTACAGCCCACACTTTACGAAGGGCTTTATCTATGTAATTTTTTTTTTTTGTCAGTGGAATGTGTCATGATGCCATTTCTAACCTTAAGTCCCTGGGCGGGACCCGGAAAGAAATGTGTAAACGCCAGAAATCAAAGAAAATAATAATAATAATGAAAAGTGAATAGGCGTTTGAAAAACGAATTTTTCACTGAGAAACTTTTTTTTTTTATTATACACATACAATTTCCCATTCTGGAAAAAATGAATGAAGTGACGTTAGAAATTTCGAAGCAGTATAGCCTTGTGCCAGACTAGATTATACTTAGTAAATAAATTAAAATAGGCATGTAAAAAAAAAAAAAATGCTAGTGTCATTTTCTTCTCTTTTAATTAAAGTTTAAGTTTATATAATTTTAAAGCGGGGATTATCAGCGCAGAAAGTGAAATTGGAGTTCAAATTCTGACATGTCTGTTGGGTTCACTTTCGCACTAATGTCCTTGGGTAAAGAATGAATCAATATTTTTTATCTGATCTATGAGTTGATTTCTAGCTTTGGGTGAACGCCAGTCTAGAAGGAGGACTACAAAACAATGGAGAACGTAACGAGAACTACTCCATTATTATTCCAAAGTTGTCATAGCAATTCACAGATGATAAAAAAGGAATCTGTACGGAGCTATGATTGCCTACGTTCCGAAGAAACATTGCACAAAAAGGCATTTATTTTTTAAAAACAAATATATTTTATTTTCAATAAAATCTTACTTATTGCTGAGCATAAATCAAATCTATCAACCTTCATGTAATGAAAATTTCAGTTTCAGATTTATAGAAAAGGCACAGAGAAACTACGCTAGAACGGTGAGAAAGTGAATGAAATCGAGATTATTATTTGGATCTGTGTCAAGAACCTGTAGATACAAAGCAGAAGCACGCTCAAAACTATCTTGAAGAAAAAAATTCCTAAAGTGTGCTGCTCCGGACACTGCACATTCGATCCATTTCTTCCAACAGATCAGCTATCAAACCTTATAAACCCTCACCCCACACCAAACAAACAAAAAAACAAACAACCAAAAAACAACAACAAACAAACAAAAAAACCAGATTACTTAGAATTGCGCTCGGAGAAGATTATATGCACAACTATCAGTCATCATCATTATCCTCCTCCCCACACTTGACTTTTGTAATAGTAGGGGGTGGGGATCCGAATGCAAAAGCCATATTGAATTTCCTCCACAACGACCTATCGACGGCAGCCATCAGCAATTCTGGTATGGTATTTGTCCATTGCTTGACATTGTTTAACCAGTTTTTGCGTTGGCGTCCTCTTCTACGTCCACTTTCAACAGTGCCATGCATGATGGTCTTGCACAGGCTGTCGTGCCTTGTAACATTCCAAAACCGCGCCATTTTTTCCCCGTTTGACAGTGGCGAGAAGAGGTTGCTGGTGGCCCACAAAACGTTCAACCGTTTCAAGGGGTTAGTGAGAGAGAAAGAATCTGAAAAAACGCCATTGAAGTGAGAGAGGACAATAAAAGAACAGGTTTCAAGAAGACAGAAGATGGCGATTGGCGTTGGATCTAAAATGTTGGAAGATCGTAGTTGACAGGAAAAGCTAGGAGTCGGGAGAGAGTTTCACATACGAAAAGTTCGAAAGAAACGATTAGACTAGAACTTAGAATTACATCTAGCAATTTCAGAAGTTCAATAAAGAGACATAACTGCCAATCTGGTACAAAGCTTGAATTCCTGAAGTTGAGGAATGCTCATCAGAACAATTGCCACAGAAATATTTTTAGAAAAGGTACAGAAGAGCTATGCTACAGCAGTGGGAAAGCGAGTGAAGCCTAAATACCAGGTCATTATTCTTGAATTTGCGTAAAGAATCTATAGATACATACCAGAAGCACACCTGCCTAATCTATCTTGGGAAAAAAAAACTTTTCCAAAGTCTGCAGCTCTGAACGCGGCAATTTCGATCCATCTTTTCCAGCAAATCAGCTCTCAAACTCCACAAGAAAAAATAAAGACTTATAACTAAATAACTATAAATAACTTTTTATGTTTAGATAGAATTCGCACCCGGAGAAGATTGTATCCTCGACATTTAGTATTGTTAAAAAGCTAAAATAGCGGCTTCAGGAATCACCATTTTTTAAGGAGCCTCCATTATTTTAAAAACTTGAACCCTTTTTAACAAATGATCTTTCATCTTTATAGAGTTAAGTGCCTCACCAAATCATCAAGAGTAGAACGCATTCTCTTTATGAAGTGAAACATCCAACGGATGTTTATTTTTTTTTCTGAATATTTTTTATAGTTCAGAATATAAATACATTTATTAACTTTTAATTCTGGTCTGAGTTAAACATTTGAAGAATGTTAGCTTAATACGGCACAATGTTATTGTAGAGGAAGGAAAATGGCGTTGTGGCAATATTCTAAGTGGGGCGAGTCAACCCACCTTAAACCAACATTCAAGATCCCGGACTTTAGCTAGATTCGAACATCAATTACAGAATCGTGTCTCAGATACGCACACAGATCAATTAGATCGTTGTGTATCTGCGAGTAAGCAGGCGCTATACAGGTATTTACTAGGTTTAGGTTGACTATATATATATATATATATATATATATATATATACGAGATGAGATGAGATTATTAACCATGCATAGTGAAATCCACACTCACAAACTCCGTTTTCATAAAGGGATTTCTTTTCCCGTATATATCTTGCTGTTTAACGACGTTTATGGAAATGAGAATAAAAAAAAAAAACAAAAAAAACGCCCGACATGAAATGATCTAAAAATGAAGACAGACTGGCTTACCAATATGGAGGACAGATTGGTGGTAGGCAGCATCGGCATTGTTGTACCAGAGTTTTGCCATCAACCATACATAATAATCGTCAGTTGGCAAGAAAACCTGAAATTGAAAATATTTAAATTATATTGAATATTTCTACAAGTTTCACAGACGAAACGCCACACGCCTCTTGGTACAGTAGTATTAAAAAGTGCACAATACACGTAAAATTAACATGTAGAGCTTTTAACTTTATAATCAGGAAGTCAGTTGAATCCGTTACGTTGGTTCCAACTTTGCGGTATCTTCAGACAATTTTTTTATCAAATGACCACCTAACGCTTTTTTTTATTTAAAAAAACCCAAAAAAAAAAAAAAAAAAAAAAAAAAAAAAACCTAAAGAACGTTACATTATTTTCAAAAATAAATAAACAAAGGAACTACATTGGGTGTAATGGAAAGAGAGGAGGAGGATGTGAAGAAGGAAGGAGAAGAAAAAGAAGAGGGAAGAGATGAAAAGCAAGTGTATTGTAAATGCATCGCAGGAGGGGGGTTAAATTACATTTTTTATCCAGCCTCATATGCACTTAAGAAAAATTTTTTTTATATATATATATATATATATATATATATATATATCACCTTATTTTGAATTTTTTTTTTAATGTGAATTCGTGACATAATGTCAACGAAAATGTCACTGAAATCGTTACGTATCGTGGACATTAAATATCAGTATCAGGGGGGACATGAAATTTAAAATTTAATCGAAAGCATTAAATATAAACAGGTAATGAGCCGCTACAGTTATTTATATATTATTATTATTATTTTTTTTTAACCAACCGGATTTTCTGGTCCTTTTTGTTGGTTCAGCTGGATTGCAATTGGCATCAACTGGTCTTCGTCATCGAGCATGAACAACGCCATTGGTGCGCAGATCTGAAAAACAGATGTAAAAGAAAAAAGAAAAAAATATGTTGAAGGCAAGATTAAGTTCAGAACAATATGAGGCTTGTTACGAATTCCTCTCACAAAAGAAAAAAGAAAGAAAATAAATTTACAACTAACTTTTGTATGCAACGAAGTCTGTGTTAAGTCCCACGAAATTAAGAGAATTTAAGATTTTCTGTCTGCAAGCGCTTATGTAAACATTTCCTTTTCTTAGATTAATCAAGCAATTTATTTAAAGAAAAAACAAACAAATGCACAGATATGCAAAGAGTAGAAGATCTTATTTATATTAGCAAGATTTTGAAGAGTTTAAAAATCATGCATTTTATGTGACCGGTTGAACTATACACAAGTAAATCTTTTCTGAACGATTTAAAATTCATAGCAGAAATAATTCAACGGTTGCACTCTACAATGAAGCCGAGCATATACGGTAATGAAGAATGTTAACTTGACACATGACCTTAAAAAATTTGGATTGAAATTCATCTCAATATTAGAAAGAACCATAACATTTAGTCAACTTGAAAAGTCTAATTTCCTGAAAACTGTTTTATGTAAAAAGATTTTATAAATTTGAACCGACAACAGCATTCACGGTCAGTTCAATTAATGTGGAATATTGCTTTACAATTCTCACTCTTAGCATATGGCGATAATCACTGGCTGGTAACAACACAAAATACAAACCAGATATACCATCAATGAAACGACTATTAGTGTCAGAATAATTCGTCTATTTGCTTCTACAGCTTTTGATCAAAGTTTATATTTGATTTAATGTCTTTCTAAAGCAGGGGTCGGTAATCTTTTGTGCTGATTTAGGGTTTTAAAATCATTCAGTGTGCCAACAGCATACGTATTTTTATACAAGTCAATGTCAATATACCTGTTCTACAATATATTTTATATAGTAATATATAGTATATATACTTTAGCATATATTAAAATTGAAACAGTTAAATATGTTCTTTGCATTGTAGTAGTTATTGGTCCGGACTTTGTGATATCATTTGCGGCTGCGTGCCATTGTTAGAACAATGGCCGACTTGTCAGGAAGGTGGCTCCTTTATGGTCTTGGCCTGTAGAGATGATTCCAGCACGCGGAAGCTTTGGATAGTACCTGAAAACCTATTGACCCATGAATTGTGAGTGAAATTGCGTAGGTGGAAAGAAAAATGAAAATATTTATGTAAAGAATAGAGGGACACCATGTCACGTCGGTGAGTAAGTAACTGAAGTCGAGACCGATTACATATTCACTAAAAAATAAAAAAATTTATAATTCAAAATGTGTTCAATAAAACAAAGGGTTGATAAGCCGTAAAAAAACTCAACAAGCTATCTGAAGAATAAAGAATTTTGCAGAATAAACGCTCTTGTTAGAGAAGAAAATGACATTTGAATAATGTTTTAAACGTTTTTACCAACCTTAAAGTTTTCGTTATGCTTCAAACCCTCTGTAACAACTAAATCTGTTAGAAACAGTCGCTTCTTTTCCATGAGACTGGCCAGGGTTTCGCCGTTCAAAACAGGTTTCATCATTTCTTCATTCACGCCGAATCTGAAGAAAATGCATTAACGTTTTAGTATTAACGTTTTAGTATTAACGTTTTTCGGTTAAAATTTCGGCGTAATATTAATGTAGAGTTTCTAAACAGTTTTGAAAGCCGTATCGTCAATGGTATCGAGATTTTACAACAGATAGTCAAAGGAAGGTGAGAGAGACGAACGTCAAAAGACGGTGAGAAAGACGGACGTCAAAAGAAGGTAATAGAAGGAAGATGGTGCTTGCTAAGAGGATGGGGTTCAAAAAAACACATCCACTGGCAAGTACAAGGAAAAAAAACTAGATCAACTACCAAAGCATAGCTTTGCAATTTATTTATTAAAAAGAAAAAACTGTTACTATCGTAATTAAAAGAAGCGGAATGTGACTGGGACTTGAATCGGGTGTGGGTGGGTCAAACACCGTTTTGGACAATTCGCATTGACTTCACACTAATGTCCTTGTAAGATGCATGAATCGATTTCTCTCGAATCTGTGATTAAATAGAGTAACAGTAAATCGTTCCAGCAAAAATTCACTTGCTAATTTAAACCGAATGAGAGAAAAAAATAATTAAACAGAACTAACTACACAGATCTCAAAGAGATGGGATGATCGGAATAAAAAGAGTAGCAGGAAATTTTCTGAATGTACAAATTAAAAAAGCGGTAGTTGGAATAAGGACATCCCAGGTGGATCCCCCACCCCAAAGTAAATCGTATCGGCCAGTCTATCTGAAACTAAAAAACACAAAGAAACAACCTTTTCTTTGTACGGCTTGTTTTTATCCATCTTGCTAATAAAAAATTAGAATTAACATATAAATAAATTCCAATTAAAACGACCCGTAAACCACGAACAGTGTTAAAAAATATTACATTGCATATACTAAATTTAAAAAAAAATATATTCAGCAACAGAGGTCGTAATTTTAATTTATCAAACATATAATATGACTAGCAACCACACAGACTACATAAGTTCTTGTAATGGAATCGACTGTACAGTTCTTAATGTTACCCCTTGTGACATATATTCGTAGTTAATAAAGGATTATTTTTCTCTTTTTTATACTGCAAATGAAATGAATAAAAAGTACAACAATAACATCCAACAGTAAGACTGAGACACATATTGAAATTAATGACAAGAATGTGTAGATTTCTTTTCGTGATGTTATTTACAATATTGGTTTTGCGTATGTTAAATATTCTCAGGGCAATTCTCTCTTATTGTTTCTTTAAAATTTGATTTTATAATTGTTCCTAGAATTTCATGATTAAGGGAAGCCTTTGAAACCGTCAACTATGGATTTTTACGGAGCGAAAGAGATACGTCTGTGTTGTTTTTTTTACTACTGCTACTGCCATCTGCTTGTAGTGGAAAGCTCGTTTTATAATGACGAAGTTTCAGATCTTTATTTCAAGAATGATGAAATATCATCATGAATCATAACATTCTTAAAGTGAGGCTTACTTTTCAGGGATCTCCGTGCACAGCTTAATGAGAGCCGGGTTGCATCCTACCAAACGCTGGTTACCGAACCAAACATCTTCATTCCAGTGATCTGCTGCCTATATTAAGAGACATTTAATATTGCCAATATATGAAATGGTATTTTAATTATGAATGAATCCGAAACAAAAACACAAATAGCGATAAAGAGTAAAAGTTTATTATAGTGTGACGTCCGAAGACACAATCGCGAAGCAATCACTGACAATAACTTGCTGATCATTCAACTAAAGGCGGATTGTGTGTCTCCTTCATTTCTCAGAGTCCATCTCAGCTCCTCTTCTTTTACTGTCCACGTGGATAAAAAGAAAAAAAAAATAGGAACGCTGGTTTCGAGCGGGAACTTGTCTGATTGGTTGACTACGATTATTTTACCCGAAGAAAACCTGAAGTGGATGCTTGAAGCCACCGACTCTGAAATATATTTAGTCATTTGGCACTTCCGTCACCGAGTAAAATTCAAAATCCAGCGAATATAAGAGGTACGACAGTCGCCCAACAGACAAAGCTTATGCCGTCAGATTAAACTAAAACTAGCCATTATATTGTGAGTTTAGAATTTGCTTGAAAAGATAATCGCCATTTGCCAGTCGTAAGAATGGTTATCATAGCCATTTTGCCATAGCCATGTGTATGTATTTTATCATTGCCATGTGAACGCATGGGAAAATAGATCATGTATAAATTTGTACAATCTTTTATGGTTATGGGAACGTATTACTCGCAAGATAATGGCAATGGTGGCTGGAGTTAAGAGACACAAATCAAACTTCTTGAATATCCCAATGGAATTGACAGAATCAATCGCAGTCTATTCGATAACAATCAGCTCGAGGAAAAAAAATTACCAAACTCATTTTTTTCCATCAGGTTTTATGAAGCAGGGATCAGTTTTAAATGTTCAAATATTAAGTTTTATGCCACAATTTACTGTAGATTTATAACTATCACCGATTTCATTTTCTAGATGAATTTTAGTCATTTTATGTTTCTTCTTTTTGTAATATTTTTTTAAAGTAATGTTTCGACCACTGCCAGTCTGCTCGACTGATTGGTTTATTCTTTTTAAATATTGACCTTTGATTTAAGAGGGCATGCGTTTCATCATTGAAGGATACGGATTCAAGACAGAATACAATAGCCGAAGTGTTTTTTAAAAAAAATTAAATTAAAATATATGTCTATACTTCACACAAACATACATGAGAGAGAGTTTTAATATAATCGAAAAATCCCCTGAATCTGTCTGTATGGCAGCGAGCTATGAAGAGTAATGCCGCTTCACCGCACCAAGATTCCTTGGTGTGACAAACCACCAAGTGGTGACGGCATGTCGTTGCCCGACCTGTTGAATTCCGTCTTCTTCATCTTCTCTTTAAAGAAAAGATACTATTACGAAATAAAGCGAAAAAAAATGTCCGTCGTTCAGTCTGTGATGCAGCACTGGAGCCTGAAGAATTGCCTATAGATCAAGTGAAGCCAGAGGCGACACGCAACGCAATAGCGAGTCGGATTCAGTGTTATTCTAGAAATAACAATATAAATAACAAACAAAAATTACAACTAATGAAACTCATAGTTTACATTTTGGGGGGAAATAAATTTACGGATGTTGTCACCGACAAGTGATTCTGATAGTTCTTACACGTACTACTTAGGGGCGTATTTTCTGGTTTTGAATAACCTGCAAAGGGTTGATAAATCGTAAAAAACGAATCCATCAAATCAATAAATCTAAACGCTTCAAAATGGCCGGCTTCTCTCCGCACTAAAAATAAAACTTAAGGAACACCTAAAAGCTGTAATGCGTCATATTTTGTAAAGTTAACTAGCAAAGGCTAATACTTTTTTTTTTCAACGTAAAAGGAAAATAAATTTAAGGTAGATACGTTTAGTAGTTTCTTTAAACCGGTCGAATTATTGCTTTTTCTTTTTTGAAGTGAGAAGCACAGCAAGTGTCATGCCGAATATTATTCAGTTAAAGTTAATTTTTTCCGGAAAAGTCTCTAAAAATAAAACAATAATTACAACCAATAAAACTGAAATTTTACAATTCGAACACTTTACTTGGGGATAAATAAAGTTGCTTGTAGTCAACCTTTCAGCTGACAAAAACAGGTTTAAACCACACTCGAAGAGAGCAGTCAAGTAAACTTTCAATCAATAAACTTTAGTCTTAGTTAAGAAAATGTACTTACGAGAGGTTTCTTTCGTTCATCATCATAAATCTTATCTATGTCGTCAAAAGAATCCCATTCGTGGATCAATAATTTGGCCTTGAAGTTTAGGTACAAATGCTCAATTTTAGTGAGAATAAGATTTTTCTAGGAAAAGAAAGAAATATAAATAGACGTTAGCTGTGTTAAAGAATGAGGATGTTGAAGGGAAAAAAGAAAAATTAAAAAAAGCATGAAACACACACGAAAAAATAACACACACATACAACAGAAAAAAAACCCCAAAACAAGACAGACATACACACACACAAAAATTAAACATACACGAAAAGCAGGTAATAAAAAATCACAGTCATACACGAAAAAACAAACAACCGCCACTAAAAACGCAAAAACAAAATAAAAACAAAAAACAAAAAAAACAAAAAACAAAAAAAACAAAAAACAAAAAAAACAAAACAAAAAAAAAACGTAAAAACACATACTCAGAAAAATAGAAAGAAAAAAACAAAACACATACGCGAAACAAAAAAAAAAGTATAAACACACATAAAAGAAAAACAAAAAAAGAGAAATACGCCAAGAAATACAGGCGCATAATACAGGAAAAACACAAATACGAAAAGGAAAAAACACAAACACGAAAAAAGAAAACACAAAAACATGAAAATCAAAACTGAAACACACACGTGTACAACACAAGTAAACAAAGAAACACACACACACGAAAAAAAATTACAAGCATATAAAAGAAAAGAGAAACCCATGCCAACACAAATAAAAAATACATATTTTCAGTCTTAGATTTCAAAATATTGTACGTGATTTAGTGGTGGGAGTGAAGCTTGTTTTCCACCCTGCAACCTCTTTCCTCATAGACGCAAAATTGGCAACCCTATCGCTACCACAGCTATTTTCATGGCAAATTGACAGATGAGTTCCATTCTTTTGTGTTATCAGTCCAGACCTTGACAGCTATATGTCATGTCATGCTACTTCCAAATTAACCTAATTTCCTCTGTATTCCAAATGTAAGAAAATTCAACACTGGCAGTTTCTTTCCAAAGAACTGATACTTTGTGAAATAGACTCCCGCCTGGGTGCTTACCTGAAAACTAGAATTTTATCCCTCCATATCAAGAGTCAGTCTATGGTATCTTGATTTTATGAATTTAAGCGCTGTACGACATTGGTGGCAATGCCAAATCATTTTACAGTTAAAAATGTAAGATGCAACTGTATGTTCTATACTAAAAGTTTCTTCTATCGCACTTCTTGTTTGTGGAATTCTCTTCTGGATTGTTGCTTTCCAGCAACTTTGATTTTAAAAATGTGCGTATTATTGGCTTTATTGCCTTACTTGGGGTGAAATGATAAAGAAAAAAAAAACTTTCAAAGTAAAATTTGTTGCCAATTCCTCTAAAACAAATGAGTAAGATTATTCTAATAATAGTTATTCACAGGTTCCTTGCTTAGTAATAAAATACCAAAATATGTATTCATTTCTTCGAAATCTGGGAAGATGGAATTAAAACTTCAACTTTTACCTCAAGTCCGGCGTGACAGTACAAACAGGAACAAGATATTTAAACATTAAGCTTAACCATATTTACTTTAAATGTATACAATGTTTTTTCTTCATTTCAACTGATGCATCCATCAGCCAATGGAAATTTAGAATCCATCAACTGATATGGACTTATCAGCATAATACGTCACACAGACCCCAACTTAGTAAGTAAGTTCTTAGTAGAGGTCGTGATATTAGGAAGAGAAACGAAGGCTGCTGTGAAGTCAACTGGATGATGTGTTTCAAAACAGCGAACATCATACTTGCGTTTAGGGAGAGTGAAGGGCCTGTGTGGAATGCCGTAGAATTCCTTTCTGTTCGTTGATTAAAAAATGAATCGAACACAACGGGTAAAAAATGAATTGCTGACATTTTCGTCCAGAAAAATGTATTCTTCTTCAGGACGTTGACAATCATGGCTCTCCACAATTTCCTGTTCATTGTAGTTCTTAATAAGTGTTGTATTTTGGTTAACTCCCCCAAACCCTCATCCACCATCGATTCATTCAAGATCACCTGGTAGCATGCTTTGTTCTGACTTGTCCCTTTTTCTTCAACTATCGCTTTTTGATATTAAGCATAACAATTCTTTTCGTTTTTTTGTTTGTTTCTCTAGTACTTCGTCGTTGCTCACCTGTTTGGTCAATAGCATCCTCAGCATCCTCCTGTAGTGATACTTCTGTTGATTCAAGTCCTTTCTTTATTTAGGAGGAGATTGTCCGGTATTCCCTGCCATATAGGAAGATTGATATTACATAAGAGTTCAGCATTGTTTTCTTTGTTTCTAACGAAATTTTCCTGTTTGGTAATACTTTGCTTAGTGTTTGGAAAGCATATTTCGCTATCCCAGTGAGCCTTCGAATTTCTGTGTCGTTCTTCCGACCTATGTTTAAACACTTCCCAAATGTTTAAATTGTGGGAATTATTTGATTTCGTTATCTCCAATTTGTAATTTGCATGTTCCTTGGCTGTTCCTTTTTGTTAACAGCCATGCATTCTGTCTTTTTGCAATTGATGTTTAGTTCTTTCTTCTCGCTTTACTAATTAAAAAAGACCATTAGGCCTAGCAGTAGATGTGCGGGTAGATAACGGTAATTGTCGTGGGGAATGAGACTGACGTCGCGAGTTCAAATTCCCGCGTCGTCTATTGGTTCACTTTTGCGAAAATGTCCCGGGGTAAAGGCGTGAATCTATCTTCCAACCCCAACTCCAGCAAAAGGTTAAATAGCATAGTAGACTGGAATATCAAACTTTAAATGTCAGCTAATCTCAGGAAAGGAAAACTAAATGTAAAACAGTAGAGAAGACAATGAAAAACTATTCCATTCTATCGCCTAAGACAAGGAAATTCCTAGGTATTAAAGAAAGGAATTGTGAAGAGCCAATGTTTTTAGCCTCATACCGTAAGCAGTCTCAGAAAAAAAGTAAAACAATGGTGATAATAATATTAGCCGTTTCCTTATAAGGAAATATTCAGTATTTGTTTAATGAGCAGCCAATACTGCTGTTGATGGGAATTTATAAAATCTTTCACTTAAAATATTTTTTCAGGAAAATAGGTTTCTCGAGTCTAGTAACTCTTCTCACTCTTTCCAGTATTGACGGGAGCTTCATTGCTAGAATTTTGTTTGATGTAGTGTGGAGTGTCACCATTTTGATCATGTTATTATGTTCTCTTTAAGTTACATGTGATGTCAGTTTTATTTGCTGTGATGTTGAAAGTTCTCAAGCGTTGAGGTTTACGCAAAATAGAGCACAAGGTGACACTAAATAAAAAAAAAAAAAAAAAAAAAAAAACTGAAACAAAATAAGAGACAATAAATAGACGCCAAAATGGCACAGCAGCAAAGAGACGCCAAATGGCACAGAAACAAAAAATTTGTTGTCCGTTCTATGACAAATTGCCGAATCCATAAAGTATTTGGGGATAATGCTGTGATTGAACCCACTGCGAGAAATTGGCTCCAGAAGTTCATGTCGGGAAATTTGAACCTTTGTGATGAACCCCGCAGGGGCTGGATACAGGTCCTCGATGATGAGGCGCTGAGGGCGGCCAAGAGGATGACAACAGCCAAAGCTGTGTTGAGCTTGCTGAACGTTTTCAGGTTTCTGGTGAAACAGACTTCACCTGCACTGGAATTCGTACAAGTTGAGTAATTAGGTATTCTACACTGTCGGAATCCAACAAGCAAAAACTAATGACAGGCGTGCTCGGTGCTTTCACGGCGACACAACATAAGCATAATTGATCTAGAGCTTACCAGTGACGAAAAATGGGTCCTGTGTGATAATTACAAACGTGCCAGACCTTGGTTGTCACTATGGGTCCCTGTGCTTCGCAATAGAAGACTACCTCTACACCTATGCAAGATCATGTTCTGTATTTGGTGGACTAGTCGACAAGTGGTACACCGTGCTCTGCCTCCAACGGGCTAAACCGTCACAGGAGACATGTATTCGCAGTAGTTCAAACGTGTACAGCAGGTACTGATGCAGAAGGTACCAGCATTGGTTAATCACAAGGGTGTACTATTCTTCCATAACAATACTAGGCCTCATGTGGTGCAGGTGGCGAAAATTGCCATACGGCGACTTGGCTGTGACATACACCTTACTCGTGGCAACAAATTACCACATCTTTCATTCCCTGGAAAACAACCTTCATGTGGTCCTTCGCAAATGAGACAAACTTGTGGTAGGTTCTCACAGACTTCTTTGCACCAAAGACATTTGATTATTACCACCAGGTAATTGCGCAGGCGGAGGCAGAGGCTGCCGATGGGGATTACTTTGAAGATTAACATGTCATATTTGCTGTATACTTTTCTTTTTCTAATAAATCAAAAAATGGAACGGACATGTTTTGGTTATCTATTATTATATTTGTACGCGATTCTCTAGTGCCAGTCTATAAGATTCGAAGAAAGATAATTCTCGCTAAGATCAACAACCTTCAGCAGCTGGAAGCCATTTTTAACCATTGATCTGAGAAAGCGGCTGAATACAGGTGACAAAATTCGATATTTAGCACCATTCATGGCACCCATATGAAAACCACGATCTGACGAGGCTATTTCAGAAGATGGAGAGTTTTTAGGTGAAAGTTTTGGTTTTGTGGGAATTGGCGGTATTGTGTGAAACTAGCCCTAATGCAGCCTATTCTATTTTCAATTTTTGTATATCCTATACTACATTTGTTACAACTAATCCATACACAAAGGTATTTGAAGTGTTTAGTATTCACTAATACCGCATCCTGAATTTTTATGATGGATTCATGGTCGGTGCTATCACGACTTTCCTTCCAATTCTTGAGGGCTTTCTCCGAACATGGATTCTACTGCCCACGAAGATATAAAACTATTTTTACCGATGGAACGTTTATATATTTCCTTGACATCCAGTTGTTCCGACTGTGGACTTCCTTAGTGCAGTTAAGTCGACAAACCTGTTGAGGTGTTGGTGGCTGTGAGGATGCCTTCATGGTCAACTAATTCACTTGGATTCTCTGATGAGAAACTGAGTGAAAAGCCTACTTTGTTATCTCTCAGGGTTAGCGCAGTAAAGGTTGCGGTCACCACACCAGCTTAGACCAAAAAGGTTCCTTATTGATATCAAATACTATTTTACCCTATCGGATAGAACGTTTATGTATCTTCATGCTATTCGGCTGTCCCGTTGTGCACTTCCTAACCGCAGCTGTGTCGACCGTCTGTTTAGGCGTTGGGGAAGCCACCGATATCCTGTTGGGCACGATACTGCACCTGGTGGCCATGAGAACACCTTCTAGATAAAGGTCCCTTATTTATTTTAAATTCGTTTCAGATCAATATTTTCTAGCATGGATCACATGACACTTTATGTGTTTGGTAGTGAAGCGTCGGGTTAAATGCATTGACAAGGAATGAGATTATGTTGAAAAATATTTGCCGTGTGGAAATAAAATAAATGTTTTGTCTGTAACTTATTAAGGTGCTTACGTAGGCGCAAATCGTATTTTAAAATTTAATCGAAAGTGGAAAGCCTGAAAATTCGTTACTTACCACATATTCAGCACTAAACTGCTCATCAATTGGCAAGTCTTTCACCTATAAAGAATATAACAAAAATAGGAGTCTCAAAAACAGTAATCATTAAAAACAATAGTCCCCTAAGACATAAGCAGATAATATTTGAAGAAAGAAATTAAACATGATCTAAAATTGTGGACTCTAGACGAAACTTGCAATGTGAATAATTTTGACACTGAAGATCCGATTATAATTTCAAACAGTGTTCAAAAAAGTAATGCTAAAATCAAGTACCTCTTCTCAGTTATCAAGTCTTTCGTAATGGGTAGGTTCCTGAAGGAAGTTGTTAATGGCCAGTAATCCGTGGTCTAATTCTCTGTCGACTTTATATGAATGATCAAGTCAAGAGTATACTCGAATCATTTGTGAATATCTATGCTGATAATACAATGGTATATGAGAGCACTTCCAAAACTTTATAAGATCAGACCCTGGCAGCTGATCTTTCCTCAGATCTAGCTTTAACAGCTCAGTGGTGGAAAACAGGCTGGTCACATAGAATACCTCGAAAACCAAACTAGTGACGTTCTATTATCACTGACCAGACCCTGAATTTTCACTTCATCGCAATGAACGCATGTCCCCAGAGGGAAACCCTGTGCCTTGAGCGCCTTTTGGGATTTCAACTCAACCCAGATCTCAGATGAAACTTGTGCGTACGATCCATGGATAAAGATACTGGGAAAATGGTCAGTTTCCTGTATCGCTCCAGTAAGTACCTGACTCATGCTATCCTCCACATTTACAAGATCTGCTCAGTTTTTACATTCCAGTCTCGATAGATCCAAAAGCGCATCCGTGTCCTTGTATGTGATGAATCATTTACCACTCTACAACCCCTTTCCCACAGACGAAAAGATGCAAGTCTCTCACTATCCTATCGCTATTTCCATGGATAATGTTCAAACGAACTATATTCCTTGGTTCCACCAGTCCTAACCATCACGGCAAAGACCGGCCATGCTAAGCACATTTTAGCAAACACCATCATTTCCTTTTTATTAAATTGGTGAGAAGTTCCACTTAAGACACTTCTTTCCACCAACCGCTCCTCGATCGCTACAATCTTAATTTGTTAGAGTCTAAAGTAAACCGTTATTTTCCCCCAATATCCGCAAAAACTGTGACTTACCCTGTAACCCTCTAATTCGAGTGGCTCTTGGGCCTCATACACTGTGAACATTGTAAAAACAAAAAAATAAAACTGTTTCCTGGAAGTACATATAGATAAGCCGCTAAAATTAGGTTCATTCGCTTCAGACAGATAACACCCCTAAAAATTAAAGGTTTAATTCCAGAGAGAAAAACGGCCTAAAATTTGGAGTTAATTATTTTTCAGGTTAGCACCTTCCACCTTATTGCTTAAATGCCAGACATTTTGATCAGCGCACTCTTCCAGGTTAATTGTGAGTCAGAGCGTCTAAACTTCAGATCTCTCCTCCTCAGTTGGGATGAGGTCTTTTTATTCCATCCAGCATACTTTCAGAAAATTGGATTCAATTTCTTTTCTAATCTCAACTTTGGACTAATTCAGATTTTTATATATATATATATATATATATATATATATATATATATACCGGCGTAAGGGTCCCAGCTAGCGTCCAGCTGGCAGACAAAAATAAAGCAGGTTGTAACTCAGTACAAAGCCTGCAAACTAACTGATGAATCAAGCTGGTACTTATACAGAAATACCTCCACTCATGTACCAGCAGCCAATCACAGCCCAAGCAATGGACTATACCACTTTAGCACAATGAGATGCTCCATGGCACCATAAATAGCTCTCTTAAGGTTGAGTTATTATTCACTCAGCTTGCTCCACAACTGAGTGTTTATCTTGACTACGTGATTGTTCTACATCTAGATCGCCAGAACGTAAACGTAGCATCTGATCCCTCCTCTGACTAGGGAAGGCACTTTCTTGTAATATTAAGTACATCCAAAAACAAGCAAATAATATTACCTTATCACAGATCAGACCCCGAGTTTTATCCAGTCATGATGAACGATTATACTTCCAAGGAAGCCCCATTACCTGGAACCTATATTGCTGACACCAGATTTCAAATGAACGTCTGTATATATATATATATATATATATATATATATATATATATATATATATATATATATATATGTGTGTGTGTAAAAACCCCAGTGAGCCAGAACCTACCTACCAAGGTTTCACGTAAACGGATCTTCAGGGTATAACTGCCAGAAAATCCGTTTTGGTGAAACCTTGGTAGGAAGGTTCTGGCTCACTAGGTTTTTTTAAAGATTTTCTCTGCTTAGTGTATTGAGCATTTTTATGTTTTTGCATTATTTCCTCTGTCGGTGGTTTTTCTTTTGACTAGGCATTGCGATGCTGATTAATTGTTTTCGACCAAGATGGATGTCTGTAGTCTTCTTTTTTTACTGATTTTTTTTTTTACTTGTTATCGGTTTGTTCAAATATGTTTTTATTTACAAATTGTATTATCCGTTTTTTTTTCACACAATCAGAGTATAGGTATTAAAATAATACATAATATATATATATGTGTTCGTGCGCATGTGATCTAAAGACGTAGAAAAATGATAAGTGAACAGCTCCCTGTACTGTTTCAGAAAGTATCCGACTCCTTCTACCATGCTTGATTGCTATCTCTCAAAGCCAGATCAAACAAAAATTTGAATGTTGCTACCACAACCGGCCCAGGGCTGCCCAATCTTTCCTTTCCCCCCTATCCCCCAGTACAAAGGCGTTTGCACGGATGATCAATTGTTTTTCACCGTTCGATTCCTTTCCCACGTTGCTGACTTCTATGTACTCGACCGCTATTTTCATAGTAGATCGAACAAACTACATTCACTCGTTCCACGAATCCAGACATTCACATCCAGGGTTCACCAATGCTACTTATACAAAGTTCCCTTCCTATTCTATTAGCAAAGAGTAAGTTCCAATCAAATAGATTCTTACCCAGAACTGTTACAATGTAGAACAAACTTGCAAGGGAATGCTTTGCCGATCACTACAATCTTAACCTTTTCAAGTCGACGGTCAACCGTTATCTATTCTACATATGATTATAATATGCAACCCTTGCTCCCTCTCAGTACACCATTACAACATTTCCGTTCAGTAACTCTCTACTTTGAGTGGCTCTTCGGTCATGTACTGGGATAATAATATTAAAAAGAATATATCAGTTCAGTATTTTTGTACACTAGTTAAAAGTCTATTCAAGGCAAGTTTATATCGATTTACTAAGCGTAGCTTAAATGTGGCACAAGGCCGAAAGTACGGAGCACCCAGAGAGGATCGAACTGACTACTCACTCGTAATTGATTTAACGCAGTGTTTCTCAAGCTTTTATGCAATGGCACACCTAGGAACAAATGAAAATATGATGTACTTAGCAAATTTTTCAAAGGATATACACTAAAATCTTATTAAATAAAACTATAGATTAAAAAAGCACACACACAAATATGAACTTACTTTATTTCAATGTTTCTATTCAACTATTTTAGCAGCTTATTTAGTGTGAAACATGTGCCTGGTGTTTTTTGTTTTTTTTTCGTGAATTCTTCATTATGCTGTAATAAATTTTCGCAGGATCGTACGTCACACTAGTGTGCAATGGCATGGCGGTTGAGAAGCATTGATTTAGAGAGACAAAACTTGTTAACCATTACATCACGTCAAAGTACCCAAAATGATTTTCTAAATGTAGCTTAGATATAACACAAGGCCGAAATTGAGGAGCACACACTGAGGCAAGCTTCTTATATACGAAAAAAAAAAAAAAAAAAAAAGATAAAAAAATAGAGATAATTTACGTGCCCACCTTAATATAGACGTGCACTTACCAGAACAGGCATGTCCGGCATATCTTCCATATAGTTTATAACGTATTGTTCTCGTTTACGTTTGATTTCCTCCTCTCGCTGCTCCCGGTTGGGATCGAACTGTGGCAAGATAGTGTCTAGTTCATATATCCTGTAACGATTCTGGCCGTTTTTGTTTTGAGCCTCGATCCAACGGAAGACTGGGAAAATGCTGGTCGTCTTCGGCTGGATTTGTTTAACTTTGATGATGTCGACGTACCAATCAGCAGAAATGCCGGCGTTATCGCGCCAGAACTCTATCATGGATGCCGTGCCAAAATCAGGAGGCAGTTTGACTTTAAATTCGTCGATTGCGCCGCACTTGAAATCGTCCCGTAAAAAATTATCCAACTTGTATTGGGGACTGGCGATACCGTGTTCATCGTGCAGGATTATAAAGACGTTGGCATCAGTCGACGCTGCTTTCTGGTCGCCTGTTTGCACAAAGATTGTGCAGTCGTTTGTTGCCATTCTCCAACAACTCGGAAAACCTACAATGAAATGAAAATAGTCAAGTGAAAAGAATTTAATAAAAAAAAAAAAAAAATAAAAAAGAAACAAAACAGTAAACTGTTTAGCGTATGGCAATAGTGAAATCAGTGTCCACTGGCTTTTAATGAAAAGGCTTATATCCATATCACATTGAATCACCGGTTCCCGTACGAAGTTAAGCAACCACGAGATTGGTCACTACCTAGAGAGGTGACCGCTTGGGAATACCAGGTGTTATAAACTTCGATGTGCGGGTGGTGTAATGAATAACGGCACGGAATTGAAGATAGAAGAGCAGAGTTCCAATTCAAGCCGGGTTTATTATACTTACATGCAAATAAACTTGTAAAAAGTATGAACACACCTGGTCTCCCCCAGCTATGGATTAAACAGTATCAGTAAATTATTATTGATCCACCATAATGTTTCTGGCATTAAGTAACCCGCTATTGTTGAAAAGCCGAAAAAGTTAATAAAAAAAGAAATTGTATCGTACAATTTTCTCCGACAATCCGTTTTATAAATTGCTCATTTTGAATTTTCTTTAGTTTGAATTAAAAAGAAATGATCAAACCAATTCATTGATAAAAACACATTAATCGCAAGTAAATGTATTTCTCCCTCAGTATTATATGATATATATTTAACATTTTTCTACAAATAATAATCTTAGCAAAGTTTTTAATAAAAATACCCAAAAATTGAGTTACAGTTGTAATGAAAATTTAGAAAGGATTATAAAAAACATAATAAAGTCTTGAATAAATACTCATGTCAGAATCAAAGTGATCCTGAAATAAAAATAAACAATAATAAAGAAAAATGATGTAAATGTACAAATCCTGAAAATTTTCCTTTGAATAATAAATGTCGCACAAAATTTGTAGTTTACCAATACACTTTCTCATCCATTGAGAATCCTAATGTTGTAAAATTCTGTATAGGATCTACAAAAAATGAATTTCAATTGAGATGGAGCCAACATTGTACTTCTTTCAATAATATTAAGTATCGCAACCAAACATCCCTATCCAAATATTTTGGGCATTTTAAAGAAATAAAACACCATCTGTAAAATGGAAACTAATAAAAAGACGAACTTGTAGATCTTTAGATGGCCCATGTGCTTTGTGCCTACATGAAAAGTTATATATTATTAAGTTTCTGAAAATTAAATATTTATTAAATCAAAAGATGAAAGAAGTTTTTGTAGACATTGTCTCATATTTTCCTTAAAAAATAATTATAAAAAATAATTTACATATTTATATCTATTATTTGATCATAAATAAAATAATTTATAAATGCGTAATTAAATTTCAATATATTACTTTTATTTAATTAATACCATATATAGTGTACTAGTAAATAAAATAAGATAGTATTTTAAATCTTTATATTAAAAATATAAATAATATGACAATCATATCTGAATACCCCTTTAAGAAAATCTCTATGTAGTTTTAGATAAGAAATAAATAAAATATAAATAAATAAATAAATATGTCAGATGTATTGTAATGCTAAATAATGAAAAAAAAAAAAAAGACAGTAATGACAGGACCGCTTGAAAGTAAGTCAATATCAACATACAGAAACCGCAAAATACCCCACTTAACCTTTACCGACTTTAAATTTGTCACATAAAAATACACTTGCTTTTTTAATTCATAAAAAAAGCCAACACACCCTTAATAAAAAAATCCTCAATTCTCATTACCCCACCAACTTAAAATATATAATACTGTTTGTCTAATAATTAAAGTAAATCATTTTTTTCAAAGGTTATTCTCAGCATCGCTTGAAAAGTTTATTTTTTTAACTTTAAGATTTGAGTTTCGGTTTCAAACTATAGTAATTTCTGTGCGGCGATGGATACATATATATATATTTTTTAAATAATTACATATTATATATACACACATATATGACCATCGATATATACCCATGCACACACAAGATATATGCATGCATGCCTATAAACATCACAGAGGCTCATTGTATGTATAGTATGTGTGTGTACGTGTGTATACCTGTATACACATGTTAATGCATGCCACTATTTATATATAGCAGTATACACCCATATATACATTCATGCACACAAAACTCGTCTTCGATTAAAAATTTTCCATTATGTCTCATCTTCATTCATATAAGTGGCCTGAAGATTATGTTCACACATGAAACAGACTGTCGCCAATCGTTGTTGATCTCAGTGTTTACTTTTATATTTACATACGCTCAACGATAATATTACTAAGAGCCGTTTCCTTATAAAGAAACATTCAGCATTTATTGACCGAGCGGTTAGTGGTGTAGTCGATTGAAATTTATAAAATCTTATATATATATATATATATATATATATATATGAGAGAGAAGAAATATAAATATCTTAGATTGTCTCTTCAAATTATAATTTATAATTCTTATTTCTAACCCTATTTTCAATCTTAAATGTTAATCTGGGCCTAAATTCAAATCCAAAATTAAACTACAATTTATTTAAATATTTTAACAAATATAATAATCTACCCCTGCAATAAAATATCTCACGATAAACAGAAATATTATGGAAGCGGTGTTAACACAAAAAACTGCCCTTGAAGAATGCAGAACATATGAAACTCCTAGTTGTGTAATTAATGTGAGATATTATATTTATTTCTTAATATATTTAATATCTGTTATTTAACCTTGAGCACTGTTTTTTCTTACACTATAGAGAATATCACCAACGGCTTAGGTGTAGAATCTCCGACTAACGACAATTCAGCCGGGTTTCGATCCTAGCTAGTGGTAACCAGGCGTCCATCCACACTGATGAGCTGTCATACAGCGAAACAGTCTGTCTGCGGATCACTATATATATATATATATATATATATATATATATATATATATATATATATATATTCATATAATATGAAGTAATGTCGGTGCATGATTTATTTTTTACGTGGAGAAAAACGTGCACTGGTTCCATCCAACTCTCCGAGCAAGAACACCATGCAAACAAAAAGAACAACCATTCACCAACATTGGTTGCAGTTCATCCTTACGATGTCACATCATAGTCAAATGTTGTCTTTGGTAAACTAACAAGGAAGTGAACTTAGATGGTACATACAGATATAAGACAATTTAACAGGAAATTATATAAACGCCCGACTTCGAAAAGTATAGGCAGAATCTCTGACATCCCTGTAAAAAGATCGAACATTCGTAAAAAGATCCGAAACCACATACCCTTGATTCGGTCGATATTAATTTGACAGCGTTCAGAAGGGAATGAATTAATTTACTTATGTAAAATTTAGTCGCGTATTCTTATCAAACATTACTAAAAATTAAACTTGTTTTTCCAGAACTTATTTTCCTCAGCAAAGTCCTGTTCTAAGTGACGTTTGCCATTTTCCTGAGAATATTTCTTGAGAAAATTTTATAAAAGAAACGCTTAAAAATTTACCAGAACGCTCTGTTAACTAATTCCAGAGAAAGCGATTTTTTTTTTATTGACGGTTGCTTTCGTGTGAAAACAGTACTTATTCGACACAGTCGTTGATTCCGCAAGACGATGCTAATAGAGAACTTCCAATCTCACAATTTATGCAGCATCATTTTGGGACTGGTTTATTTCACTTATCTATCAATCGCTTGGGTCCAGTGTCTTTGTAAATTACCAGCTTTTCATCGTGCATCATTGGGTTTCAAAATAGCGCATTTTCGTTAAGCTTTAGGAAGGAAACAAAATCAGAAATGTGGCCCAGTGGACTTTATTAAGTAACTCACGTGGAAACCACACATGAAAGAGACTAACATAACGAAGTTAGTGCAAATGATTTTCAACGCTTGATTTAGATGTTTCGAATAAAGGATATATGATATTCAGGTATATACTCATAATATACGGACTCATTTTAATTGTCATTATCTATAGTTAGTGGTGGTTCTTTTCTCGTGTATTACAAATTGTTGTAACGTATTAACTTTACACCACCTGTTACGTTTTATTTCAAAAACAGAACATGATGTTTAAACTGCACACAGAAATATGGCTTAGGCGGAAGCCACACATTAAAATGACTAACATAATCAAGATTGTGTAAATGAATTTCCGACACTTGATTAGCATATTTTGAATATGTAGGTTATCTCTCAAAAAGAACTCATCAATTGTGAGAAGACAATGTCTGGTTTTCAATAAAAGTAACTTCTGAAGATGCGAACAACAAATTGAAAATATCTAAATCAAGTATGATAATTTAAAAATAGGGAAATGTTTTAACATAGGACGGAAAATGTAACACCAAAATCCAAAGATACATTGGAATGATAAGAAAAAAAACTTCCAAAAGCTAAGCAAAGTATTAAGAAACATCAAAGTAACGAACATAAGCAGTTGTAAATGATTTTCAACGCTTGAGTTATACGTTCTGAACATAGAACATATACATGTCTGTATTAGACTAATAATGAATGGCGAAAAAAAAAAAAAAAAAGTAAAATGCGTTACACGTTTCATCCATTGAAAAAACTTCAGACTAATAATGGTTTTAGCGGTGCATATAAGAGGGGGCAAGTAAAATAAACGCCAGTTGCAATTTTACAGGGAATTTTCAGCGTTTCCTAATGTAAAATTGTAACCATTGTATTTCTTTACACAGGTGTTTTTCGTGAACAATGTCCTGAGTATAATGATAAACTACATTCGGCAGCAAAAGCTCTGATCAAGAGATTTGAGGATGAACTATCTCTTAATTGCTGTTGAGATCTCAGCTATTGGTAAATAGTGAACCCCCAAACTAAAAAAAAAAAAAAAAAAAATCCATGAAAGTATAAAATACATTTTATAGTAAAAATATCAACTATACAGGTTTAGATATAAAAAATGACCAACTATGCATTTTTTAGCAAAATGTCCAACAATACATTTTATCTGTAGTTACAGGCATACAATTCAACCAAACAACAAA